GGGCGCAAGCTCCACTTGAACCGCACCCAGCGCGCCGGGCTCGCCGGCGGGCGGCGCGCCGAGGCTGCCGCTGGCTCCCCCGCGGCGCAGGCGCCGCGCCCGGCGCCCGCGGCCCCGCCGGCGTGGAGCCCAGCCGCCGCCTCCGTCGCCCGCCTCCTCCCCCTCCTCCGTCCTCCTCCTCCTCTTCCTCCTCCTCCTTCTCCTCCTCTCCTCACTCCTCCTCCTCCTCCTCCTCCTCCTCCTCCTCCCTCCTCCCGCGCGCGCGCCGCGGCCGCCGTCGCGCGGGCGCCGTCGCGCGGGCGACGGCGCCGGGGCCGCGCGCCGCGGGCCGGCTTGCCGTGCAGGGCCGGTTGCCCGGCAGGCCCAGATCCATCCGACGGCACGATTCTATTTCATGTGGTTCCAGAATCGGGGGCAGCAAGGAGGGGGGTGATGATTATGGGGTGGGACACCATGGCGTGGGCCATGATATATTTTTCCAGATTTCATGGCGCCTCTTCTTTCTTTCATGACGTCTCGGGCCCCCCCTTGAGCCGCGCACATGCCGCCGGCCATGATTTGCGCCCCCCCCTCTCGGACGCCCCCCACGTGGCCGCCCCCGACAAAAGGGACCCCAGGGAAAGGGACTTCTGAGACGGGCGATGCCGATCTCTCAAGTCCGATCGGCTTCGCCCAAGAGGTCGCTGCGCGACGCTTTCGCTCGCTCATGTCGAGATCTCAAATGCGACGCCACGGAATCAGAAGTCCCTTTCGCTGGCGTCCCTTTAGGAAAAGTGTCATTGTTTCAATATCAGCTTCACGGTGTTGTTGACCCTGCCTTTTGTGTGCGTCTCATCATATAGAGTTCAGGGGTGCGCAAGGGGGTGAGTCTCAGTTATTCGAGTACTGCTTCGAGGGAGAGGACTGAGTGTGAGTCGCGCCCGCTGTGGCTAGCAAGGCCTTCGGGACCTTGAAGTTGTCTCCATTCTCTCCATATGATGTTTTCAATCCAGGCGGTTTTCCTCGATTTCGGCCTCGGGGGCCACAGGCCCATGAAAAATTGATCCGGGGCGAAAGTTCGGCCCCAGGGAAGGGGTTGGGACCTCGGAGGCCGCGCGTTGACAAAATCAAATCGCCAGATATCTGGGTGCTAGCTGCGCGGGCCGTCGTTGAATTCCCTCCTCCTCCTCCTCCTCCTCCTCCTCCTCCTTCTCCTCTTTCTCTTTTTCCTCCTTTGCTCGTGACGTAGGGCTTGGGTGCAGAGCAGGAACACGCATCGCCAGACGGTGCTCGCCCAGCGGCCATTCGCAACCTTATCGTCGCGTTCCACGTTTTTCACATTGTGAAATCCGAGTCTGACTCGCTGCGCGAGTGTCATCGGGAGCGCTCCCATGGCTCTCACACCTTCGCTCACGGGTGCCTGCTGGCTGCGCGCACCGAGCTGTGAAGCACTGGCACGTTGTTCTGCTAATGAGGCTTGATGTTGAGATCAGTCCATGATGATCAGAGGATGGGATGGGCCCTTGCATAGCATGCATCGCTCGGCTTCGCGCCGGGAACCGCCCAGAGGCTTCCCGTTCAGTGCAGTTTTCGGGACTGTCGCTCGCCTCGCACTGGCCCTATCGGGCCCCTCGCGTGGCGGTCGTTCCTCGGTTGGGCCTGTTCTGCCTCGGTCCACTGCTCGATCATGGCGCCACATTTCTCCAGCAAAGCTCCCGCGCCAGTTCCCCCTCGGACCAAGTCGCGCGCATCTTACGCCTGCTCCTCCTTCTCCTGCGGGCGATGGCGCGGCCGGTGTCCGTCGTCGGGAGGGGACGGTGATGTGAGCATTTCGGTTGACATTCAAGGAGGAATGACCGAGACGACGGAAACCGTCTCTCCTCCTCCTTGTCCTCCTCCTTGTCCTCCTCCTCCTTCTCCTCCTCCTGTTCCTCCTCTTCTTACTTTTCCTCCCCATCGAAGCTGGCGCTACTCCTCCTCCCCCCCCCCGCGAGCGCGGGTCAGAGGGAGAGGGAGGAGGGAGTAGAGCTAAAGGAGGGGAAGGAGGAGGAGAAGGAGGAGGAGGAGGAGGAGGAGTGAGTAGGAGGGAAGAGGAGGAGAGGGAGGAGGAGCAGGAACGACGGAGGAATAGGATGAGGAAAAACGAGGGAGCAGGAGGGTGAGGAGGAGCAAGAGGAGGAGGGAGGGGGGAGGAGAAATAAGGGAGGAGGGAGGAGGGAGAAAGGAGAAGGGAGGAGGTGGAAGAGTGAGTAGGAGGGTGGAGGAGGAGGAGGAGGAGGAGGAGGAAAAGGAGGAAAAGGAGGAGGAGGAGGAGGAGGAGGAGGGAGGAGGAGGAGGAGAAGGAGGAGGAGGAGGAGGAGGGAGGAGGAGGAGGAGGGAGGAGGGAGGAGGAGGAGGGAGGAGGGAGGAGGAAGAGGAGGCTGACACCAAGGGCTGCGCCCAGCGGGCCATCCACGTCTTCTCAAAATAGACCTCCGAACATCTTCTCGCATGCATTATGATTTGGATCCCTAAGCTAATCAAGCCATGGCGACGAGCCCCAAAAAGACCCTGCCCCAAGGAAGAGGGGGACGACGACGTAAGGAGCTTACAGGTCTGCTCAAAGGTGTGGCGTAGATTCGGGAAGTCGCATGCGCAGGGCGTAACCCCATAAGTAGCGCGCAAGCAGGACCCGACACATAGAAGCGAGCCTCTGAGAGGAGAAGGGAGGAGGAGGTAGTGAGGGAGGGAGGGAGGGGCATGAAGAGGAAGGGGAGAAGGATGAGAGGCTGGGCGAACGGAGAAGGCATGACGACGACGACGACGACGACGACGACGACGACGACGACGACGACAACGAAAACGAAAACGAAAACGACGACGACGACGACGACGACGACGACGACGACGACGACGACGACGACGACGACGACGACGACGACGACGACGGCGGCGGCGGCGGCGGCGGCGGCAGCGGCGGCGGCGCTGGGCGACGGCAACGACGGTGGCGGCGTCGATGGCGGCGGCCGCGGCGGCGGCGTCGGCGGCGCTGGGCGACGGCGGCGACAACGTCAGCGCAGTCTCATCGCACGATCGGGAGACGGCCGGCCCTCGCGCGACTGGCCGTGTCTCCGCCGCCCCCGAGGCCGCCGCGGCCCCCGCGCCGCCCGCGCAGCTCGGGGCCCCGCGCTCGCCGCTCGCCGCTGGCTGCCGCCGCTGGCTGCCGCCGCTCGCCGCCGCCGCTCGCCGCCGCCGCTCGCCGCCGCCGCCGCTCGTCGTCGTCGTCGTCGTCGTCGTCGCTGTCGTCGTCGTCGTCGTCGGGCCTTCTCGCTGGGGCCTCCCGGAGCGGCCCTCGCCGCCGCGGCCAGAGGTCCACCTTGGGCTGGCTCCTGGCCGCAGCGCTCCACGGGAGAGGTCCGGGTTCGACTTCGAGCTGGGGGGGGGCGGAAGGCCCAAACCTGCTGGCGCTGCGAGCAGGCAAGAAGAGCAGGACGGCCAGCTCGTCTTCGAGCTTGGGTCCCACAGCATCGCAGGAACGACAAGTAGTGAGAACGGTACCTCCTCAGATTTGGGTCTTCTTGTTGTCCTGCGCGGCCGGGGACGACTTGCCGAGGGCGGGTGACCGGGGGGCGCTAGAAGCTCCGAAACTCCCCGAGCGCATCCTGAGCCAATCGCACCCCGACATCGAGCCCAGCGGGGGAGAAGCAGCCAGGGCGTCCAGGGTACGGCTCGCCACCGGATTTCTTTTCGCGCGCGGGCGACAGAGGCGAGGCTTCGGGAGGCGTCGAGGGACTTCGGGAGGGGCGGGGAGGCCTCTTCCTCCTCCTCCTCCTCCTCCTCCCCTCCTCCTCCTCCTCCTCCTCCTCTCCTCCCCCTCCCCTCTCCTCCTCCTCCTCCTCCTCCTCCTCCTCCTCCTCCTCCTCCTCCTCCTCCTCCTCCGCCTCCTCCCCCTCCCTCCTCCCCTCCTCCCCCTCCTCCCTCCCTCCCTCCCTCCCTCCTCCCTCCCCCCTCCTCCCTCCTCCCTCCTCCCTCCTCCCTCCGTCCCATCCTCCCTCCTCCCTCTCCCTCCTCCCTCCTCCCTCCTCCCCTCCCTCCTCCCTCATCCCTCCTCCCTCCTCCCTCCTCCCTCCTCCTCTCCCTCCTCCTCCTCCCTCCTCCCTCCCTCACTCCCTCCTCCTCCCTCCCTCCTCCTCCTCCTCCTCCTCCTCCTACTCCCCTCCCCCTCCCCCTCCCCCCGCCCCCTCCTCCTCCGAGGCCCAAAACGGCGGCGAGCGGCATCGACGTTAATTGACGGTATTGCCCGCCCTCTGCCTTCTCGAGCTGCGGGGGGCTCGGGCCCCCAGCGGGGCCAGGGAGGCGGGCAGCGGGTCGCCGTATCTGCTTGCCCAATCCCTCCTCCTCCTCCTCCTCCTCCTCCTCCTCCTCCTCCTCCTCCTCTTCCTCCTCCTCCTCCTCCCCTTCCCCCCCCCCCGACGACTGGCACGCCGACAGACTAGTGAATTGGTGACCACCTGCTGGAAGCAAGCGTTTGCCCCACAGAAATTTCTAGTGAATTGGTGACTCAAGGGCCTGTTTCTGGAATTCTGGGGCACTCTACGACCTTTCATATCGACGAAGGATGTGCCCACAGATTTCTGTCTGTGAGATTTGGTACTGCATGTAACTGTTGTAGGTTCCTGCCGTCATCGCCAGCACGGATGATGGTGTTCACGAGGTGACCCCCGGCGTTTCGGTGACCTTTCGGGCGCGATTTGGGCAGTTCGGGGCCTCACGGGAGAGTCTTGGGAGGGCATTTGGGGTTATCCTCGGGGCGCTTTGAGTGCGTCTTGAGGGGCTCTTGGGCCGTGTCGGAGTCACTTTGCTAGCAAGGGCGGGGCAGTAGAGCACGCAAACGTTCACTGTGGAGGAAACCAAAGAAGAAACCAATATTGGCCAAATCCATGTGCTTGCTCTGTATTCTACGTGTTTTCTGTAATTCTGTCGTTTCTCTCAAAAACGAACGCTGTTTAAGTTCGCTTTGAAACCCCGCACTGGGGAGCCCTCGGAAGAGGGGCCTGGAGGAGCTGGACTGGGCATATATGTGTATATAGATACATATATACATATATATATATATATACAGTCAAATACATATACACCTACACAAACATATACGTATGCATATACATACACATATACACATACATCTATATAGTGGACTTTCTTTCGCTCAAGCCACTCAGGCTGAGTGCCGATTTCGTACCGCTGGCCCCGCGGCACCCTTGGGCCCCCCAGGCCCCCCGCACCCGTGGATCAGCCCTGTGCGGATAGCGGGGGTATCCGCGTTGCTGCGCCCACGCTACCAGCACCGGGGTATCCGCGTGGTTGCGCCCATGCCACCGGCACTGGGAGGTTCAAGTGCGTGCTCCGCGTCAGAGCCTTTGGCGGCCTGAACACTATGTGACATTGCAGCCGCGCGGCCAGAACCGACCATGACGAAGCGGCTTCGCATCATGACCAAGAATACTTTGCGACCGGCGCGCCAGAAGATGCAACACGAGCAGAGTGGAAACAAGGGCGAATTGACTTCCCATCTGGAGAAGGTGTGCAAGACTGACCGCCGCGGATGGAATGTGTTGTGGATGTCCGAGATGTTATTTCAAAGGTGCTTGATAGAGGATCACAAGTCCTCAGAAATTCGGAAGCGCGGGTCCTAAGCCAGCTATGGCGCTTTACGACAGAGCACCTGCGGGCCAAGCTCTTCGCGGCCGAGGGAATCTCGTCGGTCGCCACGAACGCATACAACAGCACCTTGCACTTTTGCATTGGCATCGAAGCGTAGGAGCTATTCAAAGTGGAACGGGCTGCGAACAATGCCTACCCAGTCGAGCCGAGCAGTAGTGGCATGCACTCGACCCGGTTGTCTCCAGAGGAAACCGCCGACATCATCAATACGGTGGGCTTCCCATAATAGACAGTTTACGATGATACCGAAGATGACGTACCACACAAGTGTTTGATTAAAGCATCGTTTTCGCATGCGCACGTACAACTCGAAAGCTCTCGTTGGCTATGCGAATGGAGATCACCTCAAGCAACCTCTTCGCAACGCCAGAAATTGCCACACAGTCTCCACCCGCGACATCCTTTGTTTGCAGGAGGCGCATGATTCTGAAAGGGATCCAGCCACCACGCAACGCGACCATCATGAAGGTCAACTGTTTTTTTCGGAGACTATGTGATGAAGCGATAGCAGGTGGCATCATGACAGCCGCTGCCTCGGAATATTCAGCTCCGCTCCACGGAGAGAGTTGCGTTGTGCTCCAAGATGGACGGTGCAAGATCCAGACCGTCACAAGCACGAGTGGCGCGCTTCCGATTTGAATTTTCCTATTGCGTTTCCTTTTCCTATTGCTATTCGGTAAGCTCCAGCTCTTCTTCCGCCCCACGAGGCACTGCACACTCTCGCTGGCGATTTCCACACCTGTGCCACCACCGAGCCGAGACAGCATCGGGACGGGTCGCTCCATGAAGACTCACACGAGATACCGATAAGTCTTGGCAACGAGTCCGAGGATCATTGCGAGGTGTGGCAGCACTTGTTCACAACAAAATAAGGACGAGGTTGTCCACACATAATAAAAACCAGCAGCCTGCGCCAAGAACTTCGCTGACCATCACGGGAAAGTCCATCGAGACGGGCCGCAGCCAGCTCAGCCCACGCAGCCGTCGACCGATTCATACCAGCCACCTCGGCGCACGTCAAGCGGCAGCGAAGTGTCGATGGGTGTTTTGCGCGGGCTGCTCTTTTGCACGACTCTGCCCCTGGCAGAGATGGCTCGCCGCACAGCCGGTGGAAGGCACGCGCGGAGAAGGGGGGGCAGGTAGCGAATATATGAAATACGTTGTTCAATATTTACTGGTTGGGGAGCTTCTAGATGGATTCAAGGAGCTCCCCTCAGCTTTCTGGCGAGGAGGCTTGCAACCCAGGAAATTGTATGTTTCGCGCCCCAGCAGCTACGAGGCAGATCTTTCTCATGTAACTCTTGCAACCACATCGTAACTTATGTGCAGCCGCCGCCCTGCTTGCCCAAGTGCCCGCGCACGTCGTCGCCTCGAGCTTATTGAGACTTGTGTTCAGCGGACAAATCGTAGACGACATCCTGGATCTATGAGGTTGCGCTCTTGTAGCACGGGGCCATCTTAAGGAACTTCATGTGGCGCGAAAGCAAGCTCATCCGCCGGCACATGTCTACCAGATCTTCCGCAGCATGGGAAAACTGCGGGCATGATTGAAGTTTTGGCTCGAGCCGCACAGGCTCTGTATTCGGACATCGTCGTCTTGGTGTTATTTCACATCTGTCAGGATTTCAGCTTCTCCGTGGAGCGAGGCATCAAGCAGGGGCACCCGCTGTGCGGGGTGAATTTCGCGCTGGCGATGGACCCAGTGCGACGCAGCATAGAAGACGCCATTATTGTTCCTGGCGCTTTCCGTGTTTGCTGACGATGTCGGCCTTGTCAGTTCGGATCTCCACGGTTGCCCCCCTCCGGTTATTTGGCAAGTGGTGTTTGTTGCAGGAGCAGCGGGTTTGGTGCTGAATTCCAAATATGCCGATTTGTCGTGTTGTTCTCGCAAACCAACATCGCCAAGGTGTTTCTGAGAAGAGGGGTCCGAGTCCAAGCCTTCCAGTCTTGACCGCGCGTTCTACCTAGGTGTTAAGGTGGGGCCAGGGGGTCACCTTGCAGCGCAGGGAGGCCGACACTGAAGTGTTGTATACCGAGGGGGGCCCAGTAGGTCATTTCAGAAATCATTCATATGTAAGTTCATCGCCTACAACTCCTACGGAATGTCTGTCATGTCTTACGCTACCCGATTGTACCCACCACATTCGTGGGCACTGACAGAAGCGCGAGATGTAGTCCAAAATTGTTATCCACTGCTCCCCGTCTCACCATACCCAGCAGCACGCCAGTGCAATCCGAAGTGTTAGATGTTCAGTATGACGCGCGGTGCTTCGAGCATGTGTGCGTTGCCGCTCGACGACGCGATGCAGTCCCATCGTCCGCCTCCCACCGATGCCGCCACGCGCTTGGGAGGCTGCCGCCCAGGCAGATGAGCGAACGTTGGTGCCCAGCGCGTCGCAGTGGGGAACCCACGACTTGATAGTCTTGCAGCGTTGACATCTTATGGTCGTGTTTGGAAACTTTAATCGGGCCCCAAGAGCGCTTGCAATATTTCTCGGGAAACCGAAAAGGCGCATGCCTTCGGACACGGTTCCGGGGTTTCGTGAGTGGCGCCGTTGTTTTGTGTTCTTTGTGTTGCGTTGGACGGCCACCACTGACGAAGCCCAGCTGTGTTGTTTCCCAGATCAGACAGATGGGCCAAAACATTATTGAATTCATAGGCGTGGGTTTTGTCCCAAATATTGGCTAATTCGCGGTGTATTTATAAACGTCGCGGGCAAGGGACGTTCAGTTGTAGGTTTGGATGGCAGGCTCTCAGTGTATATGTAAACATACACACCTTATGTAGCCCACTGTGCTGAGCGCCCCGTTGCCTCTCAAGTGCTCGTTCGTCTCAGTCCGTCGCTCCCCCCTCTTGAACCCAGCGCAAATACATTGAACAAACACCATGCAGGTAGGGGCGTGTGGCCGTCTAGCGAGAATGTGCGAGCCATCAGTTGTGATGCGTTGCGCAGCGCGTGCAATTCTCAGAGGAAGTGGGATTCCTTTGCTCGGGAGGCACGACACTGGAAGGCCGTACAGCAAGCACGCGCTCCACAGCGCTTTGGGCGCTGGTCCGTTAATTCGTCACAGAGTTGTCCCAGTCGAACCGTGTATCCTCCCCCCTCTTCTGTCGCCTCATCATCATATCCATCATCATCGCCATCATCACCATCATCAGCAGCAGCATCATCAGCATCATCATCAACATCATCATCATATATATACCAGTACACTTGCCATTAACATCATCATCATCATCATCATCATCATCATCATCATCATCATCATCATCATCATCAGTTTCATCATCACCATCATCATCATCATCATCATCATCATCATCATCATCATCATCATCATAGTCGTCATCGTCATTAACAGTAGCAGCAGCGTCATCATCATCATCATCATCATAATCACCATCGTCACCGTCAGTCGTCATTACCATCACCAGCATCATCATAATTGTCGTCATCGTCAGCATAACCATCGCCATCACAACCTCCATCATCATCATCATCACCACCACCACCATCATCATCATCATCATCATCATAGTCACCATCATCAGCAGCATACTTATCATCGTCGTGAACAAAAAACAGAATCATCATCATTACTATCATCATAATGGTTATCATCATCACCATCATCATCATCATCACTATCACCATCGTCAGTATCATCGGCATCGTCGTCATCATCGTCGTCATCATCATTGCCGTTATCATCACCATCATCGTCATCATCATCAGTATCAGAGTCATCATCAGCAGCAGCATCATCATCGCCATCATCGTAATCCTCATCATCATCAGCAGCAGCGTCATCATTATCGTCATCCTCATCATCGCCATCATCATCAGCAGCAGCAGCATCATCGTCAGCAGCAGCAGCATCACCTTGTCCTCCTCCTCCTCCTCCTACTCCTACTCCTACTCCTACTCCTCCTCCTCCTCCTCCTCCTCCTCCTCCTCCTCCTCCTCCTCCTCCTCCTCCTCCTCCTCCTCCTCCTCCTCCTCCTCCGCCTTCTCTTCCTCCTCTTTCCTCCTTTCTCTTCCATTTTCCTCCTCTTCCTCCTCCTCCTCCCCCTCCTTGCCCTGCCCCCCTCCCTGCTCCCTTCTCGACGCCGCGAGGCCTCCTCCCCCGAAGTGGAGTACCTCGTGCGGGAGCCGCCCGAGGATCACCGGGCCCCGGAGTGCCGGGCCCAGCACGAGACGTTGAGGGCGATGCCCGCAGGAGGGGCGCGCATGCGGGGGAGCGCTGCCTGCTGAGGGGGCGTGGGCCCAGGATTCCTCTTCCTCCTCCTCCACGACCTCCTCCACGTCCTCCTCCTCCTCCTCCTCCTCCTCCTCCTCCTCCTCCTCCTCCTCCTCCTCACCCTCCTCCTGCACGTCCTCCTCCTCCTCCTCCTGCACGTCCTCCTCCTCCACGTCCTCCTCATCTTCCTCCTCCTCCTCCTTCTCCTCCTCCTCCTCCACGTGCCCCTCCTCCTCCTCCTCCTCCTGCTGCTGCTCCTCCTCCATTCTTTTCCCGTGTGAAAAAACTTGTCCTTGTCGCACCCCAGGTGAGACGAAAGGGCGGGCCGGGCGTTTCGCTTAAGACTTTCTTGTCATTTATGATCTCGAAGCTTAAACAGAGGGCGGGTGGTTTTTCAAAATGTGGCTCTCGCCTTAGCGCCGTGCACATTTGGAATTACAATTAACAAGAGCTTCACGAATTGAAGGCGGGTGGTTTTCAAAATGTAGTTCTCGCATTCGCGTCGCGCACCTTCGCTTTAACAAATCGCAGAAGTTCTACTGATTAGGGGCGGGGGGATTTCAGAATGTCGTTCTCGCTTTAGCACCTCGCACATCCGTTTTACAAAATTGCAAGGGATTCACGAGTTGAGGGCGGGTCGTTTTCAATATGTGGTTCTCGCCGTAGCGCCGCGCACATTCCGCTTGGAATGCTGCAAGCAGTCCACGGAATGAAGCCTTGTCGTGTTCCAAATGCGGTTCTCGTTCTAGCACCGCGCACATTCCGTTTAAAACGTTTCAAGAGTTTCATTGGTTGAGGGCGTTCATGTTCAAAATGTGGTTCTCGCTTTAGCGCCGCGCACATTCGGTTCAAAAATGTGCAAGGGCTCCACGGGTGCTCATGGTTAACGTACCAGAAATGGCGCTGCGGAACGATTCAGGATTGTCAGGGCGCAACAGTTACGTTGATCCGCGGTGTTGAAGTCCCAGGAGTGGCACCCTGGCACGACCCAGGACCGTCAAGACGCATCAGTCAGGTTGACCCGTGGCGGTGCTGTCAAGAGAATGGTGTTCCAGCACGCGTCAGGATTTTCAAACGGGTGTTTCACAACGCTCTCGTGTCTGTAACAGACGCAGCCGTTGTCTTCCTCCTCATCATCATCCTCCCCCTCCTCCTCCTCCTCCCCCTCCTCCTCCTCCGCCTCCTGAACGCTTGGCGCTGGTGGCTCTCGTGCCTGTGACAGGCGCAGCCGTTGTCCTCCTCCTCCTCCTCCTCCTCCTCCACCTCCTCCT